CCCCCCCCCCCCCCCCTCCCGATGACCTAAAACAAGAGCTGTATTTGAAATATTTAGACAGTTACTTGTTAGCTGGTTTCTAGTTAAATTGGTTACCCATCTAGTTATCAATTCTGCATTAGTGCAGTCACTTAAACATATTTAAATGTATTTAACTGTTAAATGCGCTACCCACAAATAATGAAATAGACATTTATGAAAACTGTACAATTGTGTGCATGTTTGTTTTTATGTTCCTTTTAACATTTGATATTGGCATTGAATGAGAACTGGATTAGTGGATGTTTTGAAATGAGGTCAACAATTTTGTCAAATCACCTTAATTAGAAATACTTTTGGTATCCCAAGACGACTCAAATTATGAATAAAATGACTACACACACATACTTGTGCCTCATATATTTTAAAAATGAAGGTACTAATGATAAGGGCTCAAGTAAATTTTAGCTTAAATATAAAATGCCTCTAGCACATCCCTGCTTCTGTGGTGCAGTTGCAGACCCAGTCCTCCTGACCCCACATGTTGCAGACTTCAGTTTGACAGGAATTAGACAACTCAATAGGAATTCCTGGACAAGTGAGTCAGGACAGCTCCATCCCATAGTATACTTGAATAATTATTGTGCCCTTAATTGGTTTTGGGGCAAAAACATTCTGCTCTTTCAGCATGATTCGTCTTAGTTTTAAAGAGTTTAAGGAGATATAGCAGTGTTTGTGTCAATCTCTAGAATTTACCCCTTAACACTTAACTGGATATTATGACTCGAGGTATTCACATTGAGTGCGTCTTCAGTCAGACATTTGGGCAGTTGAGTCTGCTTAATCCAGTTGCTTCATGGCTATGCAAAGCTCCTACTCTGTTTGAAACCAGCGTCAGCTGACCAGAAACTGAAACTTTATTTGTAACATGAAATAAATCTAAATAACACATTTTACTGTTTCCAAATGATAGTTAAGTTGCAAGTATTGAAGCTTATAGGTGGTAATGTTTGAAGTTCTTGAAGCAATGTCAGGCCCAAACTTTCACATTAATTAACGAGTTCTTTTTCATCTTGTAGCTGTTTTTCCAGGTGTTAGATATGCAAGTGGCATTTGCTCTTGTAATATGGTGACCCTAAAAATTAATTTTTAGGTCCTCTATCCTGGCAGCCTTTTTAGGAGCAGCAGACCTAAATAACAGTCTGGTAGGAGGTGGACTGGGTACTTTCCCACCCAGCCATCACAGCTTCCTAAGCCATCAGGCTTGAGGAGATTTGCAAAGACATGATTTGATAGTCTTGCCCTAATTACATTGAGGACTTAAAGGTGATCCTTAAGCCCTATTACAGTCATTAAAATGATTTAAGATTTTTGCAGGGATTGCCGTAACTAAAAATCCAGTGCATCAAGACACTTTAAAAGCTAAAAATAACAGTACAGATTGGATGCCCTCTGTCTATATGGTTATTTCTTTGTTGCTATGGTTATCTTCAAGAATAGCCAGAAGTGTCCCAGAAACCAACTGGTAACTTCAGTAAGATGATGGGGAGGGGGGAAATATACAAGAAAAAGCCATAAAACCATCCACTTGCAACCTTTCCAATAATATTTATTCTCTAATGCTGTACATGGGACAGGGAAACTAACATAGTAGCATGTTAGTTTGACCCAGCCTTGCAACCATCTGTATAGATCGGGCACTTCAATGAGGCTTTTTGGCACTTTTTTTTTTTATCTAAAGCTGATTCAATTGGCTAATAGCTGACTGAATCAGCTTTAGATAAAAGCACCAAAAAAGCCCTGCTAAAGTGTCTGATTTAAACAGACATTGGATGAGCTGGGTCCAACTAACGCAATGTGTCTAATGAGCATGTGCTGGGCTCAGTGGATGGGGTGGGGTGCACTGAGTTAAAAGTAAAGCACAATTTTTGTGGTGTTTTGTTTTGTTTTTTTTTTTTAACCTTGGATACTATCGATGTATCTAAGTTAGTAGCTTGTTTGTAGAACTGTGATCTACTTGTGTGTGTACAGTTTGGGGGGGGGGTTGTGGAGGGGACTGGGGATATCAGCTGTGCTCTAAATTGGAAGAAACACTATAACTGTCCCTCTCACATGAATCACTTGATACCATATCATTTTACTTTTCACTGTAAACATTGTCCTGCCAAGAATACAAAGGCTACTGGAAAGTGGCGCTCTGGCAGATTTAAAGATACAAGGACTGTAGAGATGCAGTGCTTCTCCACACAATGTCCTGCCATGTGTCAGTACTTTGTGTTTAAAGTATTCATTCTCAATCCTTCAAATGTCTCCTGAATGTCAGTAATGATGATGGCTTTCATAAATATGTTCATGTGTTTGTATGAGCTGTTATTCCAGACTGGCAGTTTTGTGGAAGGATGTAAATGCAATTTTAATGCACCTTTAGAGATCAGAAGGCTTCAGGAGTTTTAAATGTGCCCTAATTTAACTGCAAAAAAAGCTTTTTTCCTCTTCTTTAGCAATCCTTTAACACTCAAGACCTTGACTCCAATAAAGCCTTTGAGCTGGTATCCCACGATGTTCTCATGAGAAAATTGGAGGATTGTGGGCATAACTGCTTGACAGGTGGGTAGGAAGCTGGCTGTGGGGTAGGACCCAGAGAGTTCTAATGAACGGATCTGTGTCATCCTGGCAAGAAGTGGCCAGGGGTCAGTGTTTGGTCCAGTGCTTTTTAACATCTTTATCAATGATTTGGATGTGGGGATGAAGAGCTCACTGGCCAAGTTATGGGGAAGTGTGGTCATGCTTGAAGTTAGGCTGGTCGGATTGGAATCGGATGAAGTTCAACATGAAGAAATGTAAAGTGCCCCACCTGGAGACAAACAATCCCCTACACACCTGTAGGGTTGGTGGCACAAGACTGACTAGCACCACGAATGAAAGGGACCCTGGGGGTAATAATTGACCACAGTATGGACATGAGCTGTCAGTGCGACACTGTAGCCAGCAGGCAAACAATACTCAGGCGTTCATCAATCGACGCACCTCCAGCAAAACTGAGGAAGTGATTCTTCTGACATGTCACGGCATGGTTGTAGAGCACTTTCAGGGGGCTGATCAGGTCACAAGTGTAACTTCTGTCTGCACCCTATGTGTAGCTGTAGTCTTCTGAAGTTCTATAGTAGCTCTGCTGCACAAGTATGTAACAAATCTGCGGGTTCTTGTCCAACTTCTGTTTTCCATCTAAGGCAGAAAATGTGTCAAATTGCAGGGAACTTTTTGATGATGAGGGGGGAGAAAAATAATGAAGAACCGTTGCCATTACTGGTGGTTGTTTGCTTGATTTATGGGGAATCTGGAGTTGTCGCTACATTTGTATGTGGTCTATATTGAATTTGAGTGATCTGGCATTAATCAGCAGTTAGCTATTCTTGAGCTGAGTATAGTGTTCTGCTTTCATTCAAGCATCTAACTACTGCTTTATAGCCTCAAAGTCCAGTGTGTCAGCTCTGTGAGCCTTGCTACAAACTAAAAAGATTTCCAGTTCTGTACAGTACTACTAAATGATATTTCCAAAGGGCAGTGAGGCAGTTAGAAGGTAAAGTATATGAGTTTAACAATTGCAATGTGATATCGTCTTGCATCTTAAAATGTGATTTTAGGTGCTTCTCAGCCAAAGGTTGAATGGGAACGTTGTTTCAAGTTGGGAGATGGTAGCAGTGCTCATGGGGGTCCTTCCCCCCCCCCTCCTCCCCGCCCCAATCTGTAGAGCATAAGGAAGTGAACTTTGAACTGCAGGGATGCAATTTCCTCATGGGTGTGCAATCCAGGTGGTTCTGAAAATATTGATACTGTAACGATATGGAGCTAGTTCCTACTGGGAACACATCAGGAAAAGCGCTGAAGTTGGCAAGATCACAATGGGACTATTCAATAAAACACGTAATTCTGCAGATAAGGTGTGTTTTAGAGAAATGTCAAAAGGCTTTTGAGTCTCAAGAGATAATTTCAGTGACCCTTAGGAACAATTGTGATACCTACCACTGGAATGCAACCACTTCTGCTATGGAATATAAGCATGCACAATGGCACTATACACAACAATTTTGCGAACAGGAGAAGAACAACAATGTGTCCAGCTGAAACTACCCAAAGACCATATTTTTAGTTGGGTAGAATGTAGTTTCATAAACTGGGATTTGACTGGAACATGTCAGGATCACACTATCCATTCATCTTTTGACAGTTTGCTGTGGGATAAGGCCACGTTATGGCTCACCTCCAAGCCATTGGAGCACTGCTATTTATGGTCCACGCTATGCCTTTCTTTTTAATAAAGGGGTATTCTCCAAATAATCCAATATTGATCTCTGCTTAAATTCTGTGCACTGTTGATAGTACAAATATACAAGTCAGAAAATACAAGTCAAAAAATGTTTTTGCAATGTATTTCTTGGCTCTGTTGGCAACTTATTGTTCATATGATTCAGTGCTGTGAGCAACTGAGAGATAGATAGTTTACTCTAAGCCTGTAAAACATAGTGAGCATTAAAATAATCATAATAAAACAACTCTCTCGGTGACTTTACAAGGGTGTTACTTTACTGAATGAATTTGCATGTGTCATAGTTACAAACACTGTATCTAAAACAGCATTACAATTAGTTGAACAGAGGCAATGATTTTTAAGCCACTAATGAACTTTATCCCTGTGGGATTTCCTTTGGTAGTGCTATTAAAAACACTAATCGCATTTTTATTGAATATACTTCACTTTGTTTTCAGTATCATATCACAGGTTGCATGCTGTGATTAGGTGATAGAGATCACATCTGAAGCTGAGGGGCTTAAGGAATGTATCTGTCTTCCCTTCTCTCCCATGAAAGCAGCATTATATTAATACAAGTTTTAGTAGGCAGGGTGATACACAAGGTCCGGATGTGTCAAACTTCCCTGGGAGCAGCCTCCTCCCTTGAACTGAACAGGACTCTAGGTTGGTGTGGTTGCA